TTAATAATATGTATACAAGGTTAAAACAAACTTTTATTTAGCCCTGTGTCATATACGTAAAACAATAAAATTCATCTTTCTAGTATTACGCGAGTAGTACACATTTAAATAAAATACTCGATTTAAAACGCGATATATTAGTTAAACTTATTTGAAAATTATTTTTAACTTCGGCCTGACGTTTCGGATGCTTTGCAGCAGCCGTGGTCACGGGGGGGTCTAATATATCTCGTGTTTTAAACCGTTAAATGTTTTATTTAAATATAGTTGCAATTCTTAAATACCCCTGTCATATGGATTATTTTCCGAGTTATTATTGACAACAACAGTATTCTGTAAAAACTTCGTAGTTGGATAACTGAATACTTATCGAGTTTCCGAAAGTAAAAACCGATATTTTCTCACGATGAAGTTTTCCAACGTTTCGCGTCTGCATCTCGAGTTTTTCATCCTATATATCCCGTCTTTGTGTATTTTAATTCTTCCGAGATTACATTGAACATTCTTGAAGTTTTGAAAGAGAATATACCGGACTATACCGGTTTAAGTAATCCTTGGTCTTATATATCTATAGGTCGTGTGTTCGACCCCCATCGGGCTGAACGTGTTTGTTATTTTGAAATTTATAATTTTTTTGAAATGTATTGGACTTCGTCTGGAAATCTGGATGATGGGTGTTATGAATATCAAAATTCCGACCGCGTCACGACCGGCCGTCCACAGATGTAACAGCCGGGAAGTTTAATCGCGTTTCGGCATCAGTCTGTGTATTTCGGATCCAAAGCCCGAATAGGTCGGTCGGTCAGTTTATTGGAATAGATATATATACTATAAGTGTAAGTATTTAAAAGCCTCTTAAACAGAAACATCCCGACAATTACTGCTTTAAACATTGTTTGGTTTGTAAGCCATACATCAGCAAGCCAATACAAATACTGTATCATTAGTACTCTTCGTTTCTCAAGTCGCGATAAATAATCGTTAATCTCCTATCTCCATCGCTTTATCGATATTGTAATCTTATTCAATCGTTGAGAACTGCGGTTGGCTTAAGTCTAAACAATTAATGTAACTGCCTCTTGATTAGATCGAAATAATGTGTTTTGCTGGATTGCGTAGGAGATATTAGTTAAACTTCTTTAAAAATTATTTTGTTCACGGCCCGACGTTTCGGACGCTTAACTACAGTATACTGTAACACTTTATCCCCTTAAGAAAAAGAATACGCTATGGTCACAGAAGAATGATAAGCTAAGTTAAATAAAAGTTGCTACAAAGCATCCAAAACGTCGGAACGTAGTTAAAATGATTTCTTAATAATTTTAACTAATGTATATCGCGTTTTAAACGGTTAAAGTGTTTTATTTAAATGTTTACTACTCGCGTAAACTACAGACAGCATTTCTATAACTTAAGTCGTCTAAATTCAGTTCATCATTCATTTGATCTAAAACTAACTTAGAATAAAGAAAAATCTCATGAAACTGAAATCTCTCGGCGTTGTATTAAGTTCTCTTTTGTAATTTGATATTGTTGTCGGTCAATTCACAACCAGGATACATTAAGGCTAGGTATCAAATAACTCCATAATTTTATTCAAATATAGAAGTTTCATTCGACTGTTATTAAAAGTGTAATCCATTAACCCCGCGTGGGGCATGGGGCAAACACATTTCTGTGCCCGTTTCACTGATCCGTTTTCACATCCGACGGTTTTTACAGTATTTTATTTTTTTATATTCAATCATGGCTGGAAATAAAATCAATAAAAAAAAAGTTATATTATATTTATAGTTAAAACAATTAACAAAATTTCGAATTTTAAACCGTTAAAAGTGTTTTATTTCGATAAGAACCCTTCAAAACACGACTCTCTTGTTAGCATTTGGTTTTTATGGTTTAGACAATCTCTAATTACGTGTAAGTATGTAAGTTATTTAATAGGATTAACCGTTTAGCCCTATTGTTTTAGTTAATTGAAAACCACGGAATATCTACACTACTGAAAGCTCTACCGTTGTTCACGCTAACTAGGGTTAGGGTCTATTTACTTCTTCGTATTTAATCGCCTATGTTTAAGCCGATTACGAAAGTTCTGACTTGCATTTTACACAATGTGAGTATATATCTAACGAATATACGTGCGTAGTGGTTCGGTCCCGACCGCGACCAAAATTTGACTGACACTTGTTGGACTTCGTCTAGAAATCTGGATATTGAATGGGTGGTAGGAATATCGGAATTCCGCCTTTACTGAGGGGTACAGAGATGAAAAGGCCGTGAAGTTTGATCACGGTTCGGTCTGTCGGTTTTCGAATATCTAAAGCCAAAAGAAGATGACAGTGCATCTTGTTTATATGATATAAGACAGGGGTGAAGCTCACGCTTGCGGCTTGTCTGTTCTCCTTTATCTTAAAAAAATATTTTGACGAGCTTGGTACTAACGTGTGGCAAATAATCAACGGGTAGTGGTTCGATCACAACGGGATCCAACACGTCGCTATTCGTCTGTAAATTTGTGTATTAAATGAGCAGTATCGTAATATCAAAAACTAATATATTCGCGTTTTAGTTAAAACCGTTTTATGTAAATATCGAAAGCCGTCAAATTAATTTCGTTCTGATTTCATTTTGTGGATTTAGAAAGAAAACATTATTCACGAATAGTTAAAGCCAAAATAGATCTTGTTGAAATGTTATATAGCTGGGTTAATTCACCTTTTATCGTCCTTCTCTATCATATAAAAAATGTTTTGCTTTTGGGTTTACATGCCACTTGATTTATCATTGAAACGGACTCAGAAATGTGTCCTTTCGCATAGAAAAATAGTATTATGATTAAAATTTAATAAGACTTCTGATAGAAAAATTAAAACTTATTCGACAAACACTGGCTTATAAAAAACCTAGTATGCTAATTTCAAACTAGCATATATGAGAAGTGAAAATGAATCCTGTTCATAACACTCTGAAACTACTTGTTTCTCTCCAGAACTTTAGCGTATTCTGTAAAATTATAAAGGCATTGTTTTCAATGCGCGTACAGACTTTCAAACTCGCTAATGTTTGCAACTTTGTGTATTTGTCCTGTACTCTAGTTGAGTTTTTGAATTTGGAACAGGAAATATAGCTAGTTCTAGCGAAAAATATTATTTTTTAGGTCAGATTTTAATCTAGTTATGCTAATATAAAAAATAAACTACTAGTAATAAGTAATTAATAAGATTTAAGAATAAATTTCAAAAACTTAATATCGTAACTTTTTTAAATCCACTTCGACTTGTCTCTCAATAAAAGTGATACGGGCACAAAGATTTCCGTACTTACTTCGCTAGCGAAGCGAGCGTGCGACTTTTAAATAAAAAACCTTATTTGAAACCAGTTTTATTGCTTTAAAGACTAAAAGATTGTAAATCAGTTTTTACATTGCAAGATATTTTTCATGATGGCACTATATAATATACATAATACGCAAATGTTAGGCACTACATAATATAAATAACATTGCGCAAGAGGTGCATGTCTCAATAGGTTAAAAAAATCGACTATGACGTGTAGGACTTGGTAGCTGAATTGGTTAGAGCACGGAACGCTGAAGATGCCGGTTCGTTTTTTTTTTCATTTAAAATCGCTTTATAATTTACATTGCAAGATTTTCCACACAACCACCTACAAATTAAAGCCTAACTAATACGCCGTTCGACTTTCCCATTCACCTTTGTAACTTTGCATTTGGGCGCTTTGAAGCCTGTCAAATACTCGCCGAGGACGTTTCACATGTCACAAGCAGCTTATTGTAGTCGCAGTTCTCATTTCGGAGCGAAACTTCCGTATCGCATTTCGGGGTTCAATTCAGGGGCCCGACTGAATCCCGACTGGGATTGTTCGATTCCAATCACGAGTTCGGATTGTCCGGCGCGTGCTTTGTCCTGTGTATCCCGGTGGACAATACGGCCCGGTCACTTTCATTAGGCCACTCACGGGTCGTTAGTTGGGAGTTCCTAAGGTTTCACGCTCGAATACGCCAGAACACAGAGGATTATGCATCGTGATATTGTCTGTGGATTACTTTAATAATGTTTTCGTTGAGACAGGCTTTAAACGATTTTTTCAGGATATTTCCAGGTTCAGGAATTTAGAAAGTTTTGTATGAAATTATGTATATATATTTTTTATAAATTTAAATAAAACAATTTTAACGGTTTAAAACGCGCAATGTACGTTAATAATCAATTTCTACTATGACCCAACGTTTTGGTGGTTTTTCAGCGGCCGTGGTCAGACACGTGATCCCTGTATTATATTATAAAAATATAAAAGTCTTATCTAATTTACTAAAGTTTATTTAATTGTAAGTTATTTTTTTTAGCGTGAAATAGAGTAATAAAAAGCGAGATGAGCTCATAGATGGTGTGTAAAACGGTTCTGTGGGACACTTATTGTTTCCCTAAAAATTCGGTAGAAACAGACACAGTGCGTCGGCGGCTGTTTGTAACAATACCTTCTTAAAAATAGACAAAACTTGAGCCTAGCGTGAGAATACGTTGTTAATAATAAGTTCAGAACAATGAAACAAAACTCGCGTTTTGAAATTTAGAAGGCTCTGTTGATCGCTGAAAATCTGCACAAAGGAGAATTGTCGGAAAATTGGCGCAATGCCGTTGCGGGCTTAATTGGCATATCCTCTTTTAAATAACAAACGGTACGCTAAGTGAATGAAAACAGACATCACTCAGGTCCTTTATGGCTGTCTGCTGATTTTGCAATCGGGTTAGGAGTTAACTTCATTAGACACGTTTTAAAGCAATTACAAGATCACTGCTACTATTTTAAAGTGTAAGCGTTGACTATGTTCTTAATAAATAAGCTTATGATAATTAAATAAAATAAATAAATAAAATAAATTTATTAAGAATATAGCCAATAAATAAGTCATAAGTATAGATAGATACTTATGCCAGAAGAATTGTAAAAACTGATTATTTTTCTTTTGTTTTCAGGTATATGACACTGCAGAAAATACGCGGCCGAAGAAATGGTCATCGAAGCTAAAATTAAATACTTCTGTGAGCAGCAAATCTTCAGAGAAGTCACCGGAGAGTCCATATCTATATGGAACAATCAGCGGGCCGGGAGGGTCCGCTTTGTCCAAATCAATGAAGTACGCCGAAACATGGCTCTACGGGTCTGTAAGGACGCAGACCCCTCCCATACGACCGAGCGTTTTCTCATCCTATCCTGAAAGTCCGGGTCCTGTTTTAATAAGTACCCCGCAAAAGCCCACACCGCACAACTATGCAGTCATACTTTGTTCCTGTCCTGAGTACCTAAACGGTACAAAGAAAACCAGCTCAACCAAAGTCAGTATTTGTAAGAAATGTAAAGGATCTCGTCTGCCTTTAACAATCACTGACAGTCCTCGTTTACTTGTTGGCGGGACGGTTCGGGGTCCACAAGTGAGCCGTGATGCTGGTTTGCTAAGAGCTGGTACTGTGCGAGTGCAGGGAACAAAATCTAGACCTAGTATACTGAAAGCGAACGGTGACTCTGACCCTTACGATTTAATGCGACGAAATAGATTGGCGCCACCGCATGAAGCACGCATAGGAAGCCAGTTCTCAACGTCTCGATCTCGGGCAAAAAGTATCAGTCCCTGTCGTGTGAAAAATAAAAAGTCGAGTCCGGAAGTTTTCAGTAAAAATCGCAGTAAATCGGTAAGCCGCGTTAACGAGATCTGGGTGGAAGAAGATGAACCCGTTCCGGAGACAAAAAAATCGATTTTATCATGTGAGATCAATCCATATGACTTGATGAAAATCTCAAGTTCAAAATCAAACTTAGATGTAGAATTTGATGATGATTATAACGAACCATTTCAAGAATCTCACAAGATGAATAATAATCGCTTATCAAAAGCCAAGTCAGATACAAATGTAAAAAATATTAGTGGACAAAGAATTCGAGTTTCAAATGACTCAAAAACTAATATAGTAGACGAACTATCTGTGTACGACCCCGTCAACTTTGATCTCAAAAATTATGATTTTAAATCAACAGATATGCCTTCAGCTCTATCTTTACCGAGTATTAAGAATGAAAATAATAAATTAGGGTCATTAGGTAAATCTAGTAGTAAGAAATTAATAAACTCCACCTCAAATCGTACAAAACAAAAAAGCGTTTCACCAAAACGTCCACCAAGAAAACTCAGAAATACAAAGAATGAGGATGACAGTGAAAGCGATAATCAAAGAATGCCTGAAAGGACCACTAAGAAATTTATAAATGAGAATACTCGCCACTTGAGAAATAAGAACCAAAAACCAGATGCCATAAAATCAATACTTAAAAAACCGAAAATTTTTAGTTCGAATGATTCAAGCACAAAAGTTGAAACATCTGATGACTCTTTTGAACATAAAAGCGTAAATCATTCACAGTTTTACCTTCCTAAGCCAAAAGATAAAAATACGCAACCATCTCAAAATATACTAAATAGAAAACGAGTACAGTTTCTCGTAGATAAAGAAGAAACAAAAGTAATATTTACAGCAGAACTCAATCTTCATGATGACGTTATTCAAGATATACCTGAGCCTAGTAAAACTGAAATTGAAGAAGAAATTATTGCAGAAGGCGATGTTTTAAGTAAAAGTTTACAGGAAACAAAACCAGAAACCTTACCAGAAATTACTACAACAGAAATTTTACATAAGGAAAATTCTGAAGGTGGTAGTACAACGGCTGACATAATTATTTCTAATTCAGAAACAACGGCAATTTCCACGTGTGCCGAAGAAAACACTGTTAAAATTCGACAAACTGTTGAAAACAATGGTAACTAATTTTTTAAAGATATTTTAATTTTCTTTTATACATTTCTATTAGTTTTGTTCTTATGAATAAGTTTTTTTGTTTATTTTCAGATAACAATGTACCAAGAGTGCCGACTTTGCGTAGATCTGAATCTGAACGCTTGACATCTTCAATTACCATTACGCCTCCGAAATTCCTTGATACAATGGCTTTAAGAACTAAGGCCAAACACGGTCATACAAGTCAAGTTTTTTTAGAAACTCTCACAGAAATGGATATGAACTCAACACATACAACAGCAACTAATACAAATTCGTCTAATAATGAACTTGACGTGGGAAGTTTGAGTGACAGTAGCGAAATCACCAGTAATGTCTTAAAAGATTTAAGAAATGGTATAGCCGAGTTACCAGAACCCCCGCCGAGATTAAAATCGAGATCAAAAAGACAGAACTACGTGAAAACACGTTTCGTTCGAAACAATTCTAATAGTTCTACAAGTGATGAATGGTCAGATTCAAATGATACAGAACAGAAAACAGTTTTAAGAGTAAAGCAGTTTGATGCTGAAGATACTCAAGAACAAGTGAAAGAACCTTCAAGGATGTTAAAGTTTATTGAAAATGAGCCCAGAAAGACATCTATACAAATAAATGGCAACGAATGTTACTCAACAATGAATGTAAGCAACGACGCTCCGATTTATTTATCTTCAGTTGTAGTAAATGCAGATTCTAGTAATGCTTGTAGCTCATATCAAACAGGGACTACAGTAACTATAAGCGTTGGATCTCCTCAGAGCGAAACGAAGAAATCAAAAAGTCAAGTTTATATTGGCGCTTCATTTAACGGTGAAAAGAAATGCAATGATTTAAATACATATGAAGAATACTATAATGAAAGTAATACTTCAAAAGTATCAAACACTAGTATTTCGTCAATTTTAAGTGATCCCGTTGAAGCTGTCAAGCGTAATTTGATACCGCACGTGTGCGGAAAAAAGGATGATAGTATGGAAAGTGATAAAAACAGCCAGGAAGGTGGTAACATTGTTGCTAAACTTTTTGATGATACTTTCTTTGCCCATTTAGCAGACGGCTTAGACTCAGATTTAGTAAGAAAGTTAATAGAAAATTCTCTTATTAAGTTACAAGAAACGAAGCACCGGGAAGGAGTAAGTAATACTAAAGTAACAATTGAAAAACTAATCGAGAGTTCCCTTGTATCAATGAAGGAAGAGATGAACAAGAGTATAGGAAAACCTGAGGAACCACTTAAAAATAAAGATGATAATGAAAACAAAAATAATAACTTGCCCACTTACTTACACAATGATGATACTATCTGCTCTGCTCCCTATGAAAGTATGGAGTATGAGAGCGGTGTAGCAGGAGTTTTTTCAGACTTGGAACCAATGTCGGATTGCTATAACGCTTCCGCTAGCGAACTATCGACAGAAGACGATAATAATTCGACTAGATCGAAATTTTATCAAATGTTGGTAGACGCAGCTATATGCGATATCGAAACAGCGAATAACACCGATGATGACCATCACTACGAATCGATCCGTTTGAACAGTGATCCAATTTATGAAGAAATAGGAGATATGCCACCGCCTCTGCCTGTTAACCCCCCACCTAATTCTCTTATGCTTATAGATGATGAAAAAAGAAGTGGTTCTCGTTCTATATTTGAAGGTGCTTCAAAATACGACATTCTATCATACTTAGTAGATGCTAAAGAAAGAGGTATAGACGATGAAGAGACGTATATCACAAATTATGAAAACAACACAGAATCTCAGCCATCTGATAAAAGTGAAGACAGTAGATCGAATGAAATAAAATCGCTGAAAAGTGTGGAAAGAAATACAAGCCAAATATCAAATGCTTCCGATTCAAGTGAAGACAATTCCTTGATAATTAGTAACGAAAACGTTGAGAAAACATTAGTATGTAAGAAACCATCAGCCGAAATTGAGAGGAATGATTCGGGTGTAGGATCTGAAACAAGCAAATCGTCACGAAGCAGACTGCAAGGGAAAATATCACCAAGAAATTCCACTAGTGATAAAGACACACCCATTCACTTATGTGAAGATTGTGATACTGCTGTTGAAACTCAAATTACAGAACAAGGTAATAATTATTTTGAATGTAACATTATTTTATTTTTATCAAAAAAAATACGGTCTCATCAACGGTCCCACATTGGGACCAACAGGTTTCTAATTTTTCAATTAATAATTTTTCTAAAACATGTTGGATTTCGTCTGGAAATCTGGATATTCAATGGGTGATAGGAATTCCGTCCAAGTCACGAACCACTGTCCACAGATGAAAAAGCCGAGAAGTTTGATCGCGTTTCTGTTTCAGCCTGTGGAATTCCACAGGCTAAACCGAATATCCAAAGCCAAAAATAGCTTGACATCTTTCTTAGATAAATACTGTCTATAGTTGTTGTTGCGAGTGTACTACTCGCGTAACAAACACTTTAACGGTTTAAAACGCGATATATTAGTTAAACTGATTTGAAAATGATTTTTAACTTCGGCCCGACGTTTCGGATGCTTTGCAGCAGCCGTGGTCACGGGGAGATCTTTCTTAGATGTTATTACCTGGGATATTTCACCTCCTTGTCTGTACTCCTCTTTATAAAAAAAATATATACATTCTCTCACTTTTTTATGTGTGCTAACAGGTTCAATATACGCACCGTTAGTCTGCCGCAAATGTGCGAAGAAGAGAGCAGAAAGAAAAGAAATTATAACAGAAATAGTTGAAACAGAAGAGAAATATGGACGTGATCTTCAAATAATATTAGAGGAATTTTATAAACCTATGCTCGTTGCTGGTCTTCTTACGCAAGAACAGCTTAGCGCCATTTTCTTGAACGTAGAAGAGCTGATTGATAACAACCAAGTTCTGTCAGAAAAATTACGAGATGCTCTCGAAATTGCCGTAGAACAAGGAGATGAGGTAATAAAATTAAGCAAAGTAATTTGATAATAATTTAAAGCTACAAAATATAATTAGTAATTTTTTTTTCAAAAATCAAAACTATTTTAGGTATTCATTATTTTCAATAAAATAGAAATAGATTGACAAAAAAGGAAGTAAATAAAATAAACTAAAGCTGTTTGCAGAATAATCTTAAATACTCGTCATACGATAATGTTCGGTCGTATTCGACCGAACATTATCGGCCGTGTTAAACTGTGTATTTTCTTTGAAAAAAATTATTATTTTTTACATTGCACATGATGGAAAGAATTCAACGGTCACATGTAGGACACGGTAGCTCAATTGGTTAGAGCGACAGCACGAAACGCTGCGAATGCCGGTTCGAGTCCTGACCGTACCGTATTTTTTTTTCAATCTACAATCAATTTTAAATCTAATATATTTCCTTTGATTTAATTCTAAACGAGGCCTATAACACGTCCTTCAAGAATATTGTATTTTCCAGGACTTACTGACGGTAAACGTCGGCAAGATTCTTCTAGAATGTTCCGGGATGCTGTCGGCATTCCAGTCGTATTGTGTGAAACAGGCCGGTGCCGCCTTGCTACTGGCTGGTCTCGAGAAGGAGAAAGAACTTCTAAGGATATTCTTGCGCGTATCGCAAATGGAGAACGCGGTCTTGAGGCGTATGAATCTTAATTCTTTCCTCATGGTGAGTTTGAAAATATATTTGATACTAATACATAACCTTAAATTCTTCATAAATTTGTAGAAAATTTTCTTTACTAATCTTCTGTATCCTCGTACAATCTGGATATTTTATTTACTTATTTGTAATTTCCTAAAATCAATCGGGTTATATATGTTTACAAATAAAGTGAATAGATAGGTCAAACGCTATAATCATTCTATCCTATTTATTGACTCTCTCTCTTTCGTCGCACATCTTCAAATTTACCTTCACTTTTGATACCAAGTTAAAGTCTTCGCCAATCTTCATTTAAATTATTTAATGATTCTTGCTAACCACAGGTACCAGTTCAACGCGTGACAAAATATCCGCTCCTTCTCTCTCGTTTATACCGTGCAACCGCCTCTTGCGCATCCGAAAGGGAGGACGTCAAAAGCGCCCAGCGCTGCGTCGAGTCTAGACTTGAAGAAATCAACGCAGCGGCGGCAGCGGCTGCAGCGGCCGCAAGGGATGTCCCGCTGTGGCGAAGACTGGCTGCTGCGAGGCGAACAGCTCATGATCTGCATGTTGCTGATATAAGACTGAGGAAGATGGCTGTTGACGTACTGGACTGGAATCATGAAGATGCTAGGTATTGTATAAATCACACAAAATAACCTCCTCGTTGAATAATGATAATATGTGTGTACTTTAAGTGAAAAGAACAATACAATTGTCTCTAGTTTACGCGAGTAATACATTTATATAAAAAAATACCGATTTAAAACGCGAAATATAGTTTTGGCATAAATTTAGAACGAACCTTAAGACCGTAGTTAAAATAAATAAAATACAAGTAAAGTTTTTTGCATTTTAAAACGATAAAAGTGTTATATTTAAATCACCAATATAATAGAAAAATCTACATTCATATGAATACTAAAGATAGGTCTTGTTATAAAACATCTGTCAATACCGAAATTACCGAAGAAGGTGAAACAGATTACACCAGTAATACTTTGTCATCGTTTCATTTCGGCCAAGTTTAACGCACAATAATCTATAAAACGCGCAATATTTGGCAAATTGTAACCTCAGTATATTACTCCGCCATTTGTTGATGGAACAAATTGCCCCATTACCAGAATCATTGCGGAGACGCTCCACTTCAAGTCACGAGCGGAGCGAGTTTTAAATAAAAATTATAACTAAAAAAATATTAAGACTTCGTAGTAGCAATTCAAAACTATTTAGACTGAAAAAGTGTTAAATAATTTTAGGACACGGACGGAAAACTTAAATCAGCCTAAAAATCTCCTCTTACGCGATGTAATGAAACAGGTTAGAGCAGCAGCACGGAGTGCTCTAGAAGCCGGTTCTATGCCCGCCCGTGTCGTATCGTTTTTTAAATCTAAATAGATATTTAATTTATATATAGCCATCGTGTTTTGTTTTCAAACGTTATCCATATATTTTAAAATCTATACGTTAATTATTTGAATAACATTTGATAAAATCTACTTTTAGATTATGAAATAAAATACTGTCTATAGTTTAGTAGTACACATTTAAATAAAACACTTTAACGGTTTAAAACGCGATATATTACTAGCCTCCCCGTGACCATGGCTGCTGCAAAGCATCCGAAACGTCGGGCCGAAGTTAAAAGTCATTTTCAAATAAGTTTAACTAAAATATCGCGTTTTAAACTGTTAAAGTGTTTTATTTAAAAACTATGAAACAACTTAATTAAAGGTTGCAATATGTATAAGTCATATAACCCAACCAAAGGTACATGTATGTATTGACCGCCTCTGCAGCCCAGGACGTGTTCGAATCCCAGGGGGACAAAAAAATGTTGTTCCGGTCGGGTAGGGCACAGAAGTCTGATCAATTACTTGCCTGTTAATAAAAAATGGATCAGTGAAACGGACACAGAAATGTGTTCGTCCAATGCTCCACGAGGGCGATACGGAATTTCACTTTACACTCGCTTAAGACTGTATGCATACATACATGTAAGTGTCTATAGATATTGGGGGTAGTAATATCGGAATTCTATGAAGTAACCAAGGATTTAAAAATGAAAAGGAGTTTTTTTTTCACATAAAACCTTGGACCATACACCGTAATCGCCGCGCTAGTGGCTCTAACAATAGAAAATGCAATTCGGGCTCTCTTTATCGCTTTAAAGCCTCGCAAATAAAGTAATTACATCTGTAATTAAAAAACATCTTTGGCTGCGAGAATTCCCAACGTTCCTTGAATAACTTTGGTCAAATGTCGCGTTCACCGGTTCCTCTAGAGGTTTTGCTTAGTATAAAAAAATAAATATGAATGTAACATTTTTGTAATCGTTGAGCCCTAATATAGAGTTGGAATTAAAAAAAACAAATAATTAAACAGACCCCCTCAATCGTCTTTGAAATACCGAGCAACGAAGTGGTTTCTCTACCCATTAGTGTGAAGCCGTTTGCCCCCTTGGGCCACGGGGCGAACACATTTCTGTGTTCGTTTTAATGATCGGTCCTTTTACAGCTAAGTAGCTGATCAGACTACTGTGCCCGACTGAAAAATCCATTGTGTCCTCTCACGTTTAACACAATGCTAGGCAACACTAGGTATTTCTCAACCTAATAATAACTCAGTAATCATACCTATCAGTATTATTTCAATCGTATAATACCTTTTAAATAACCCGACGTTTCTAATGCTTTGCAGCAGCCGTGGTCACGGGGAGACGCCGAGCCGTAGTTAACACAATTTCCAAATAACTTTAACTAATAGTATATTTGAACTGTTGGTGTTTTATTTAAACGTGTAGTCGCGTAAACTACAGCAGTGAAATCCCGAACATATTTCTGTGTCCGTTTCATTGATCCGTTCTTTTTTAAAAGGCAAGTAGTTGATCAGACTTTTGTGGCCTGCCCCACCGAAACCATTTTTTGTTACCCTGGGATTCGAACCTAGGACCTCCCGCGCTTAACGCAATGCAAGGCAATACGTTTAACCATTTGGCTACAGAGGCGGTCGCGTAACGTACCTTTTTTATAACAAAGCTAGTGCGAAATACGGTCAGTAGGACACAGTTTATCTATGCCCACACGGGACATGAGGACAGGCATTCACTTGGCTCTGTCCACAGATTCGCCATGGAGGGCAAGCTGCTGTTCACTCAACCGAACGACAACAATTGGCGCAAAGGACGAACGATCAAACTAATGCCGATTAATGCTCTTTTGGTAACCAATGGAAAGGTGAGCTTTAAATGTAACATTTATTTCAACATAGTTTAACTCTTCGTTTAATAAATTCATCGTAATCTTAAATTAAGTTTTTGGGTAGCGAAAAATGATAGATTTATTAAAAATAATGTAAAGTAATTGTAAATATCCACTCATGTCACCAAAGGATAATGTCCAACTTTAGGAATAAAGTAAAATTATTGACGAAAATCATATCTACAGATTAGTTGTTAATTATAGATAATTCTTAATTTAAATCAAACCCAACTGCTACTGATATGTCCACTATATATTTTTTTCGAGAGAAAAATGTTCATTTCTCGATTGAAGAATGATAAAATAAACAATCAAACAATTTAAGAAAATGTGAATTTTATATATTTTAGCACAACACAAAAATGAGATTAATGAATTTTACATTTCATTAATCTTGAATTAAAATATATTTTTTTCTTTGGGAATTGAATCGGTAGCTTAATTAGTCATCAGTAGATGGGAACGCAGTGAATGCCGAATCAAGTCCCGCCTGTGTCAATTTTTTAAGCTAAATAGATTTTTAATTATTATAATCAATTAATTAAAAATACTTGTTACTTATTTAAATTCTAAAATAGCTTATCTTATAACATATTCAAATAAAAATCCAAGAACCCTTTTCAAATATGAATTTTGAATAGATCATACATTGCCATATTAATGAGGTTTTAAGTTGTACGATAAAGACGAGGTTTCATCCTTAATTTTCACCTCATTACCAACATACGTAACTCAGCAATTTGTGGAGCGGTTCGTGTATTATTTTACAGATCCTATATCTATCTCATTAAATTACTCATCAGTGGAAACTCTAATGAACTGAGTTTCGACGTTGTTTTATCAAAGGTTAGGTTCTACTGCCCATTTTACTATAATTAAGTTTACTACATTCCCTACATCTGTATACAAACAATACTTATAATGTATTAAAAAAAAAATAGAGAATACATTCCACGCTGAATTTTTGATAATTTAATTAAATTAAAGGACAAACTACTTTCTTGGTTTACTCTACGCACATAATAATTTGGAAAATATCATTTTAGGTTTATTGTTTTATTTATAATAGAGAAGGACAGATACTGGGTTCATTTGATGGAAGGTAACATACCCCAGCCATATAACATCCAAACTAGATATTCTTGGCTTTGGATATTCGGAAATCCCTAGACTGAAACCAGAGCGCCATTAATTACACTTTGAGCCCACTCTGACGGAATTCCAATATTCCTACCACCCATTTATTATCCAGATATCCAGTCGAAGTCCATGTTTATAAATTAAAAATTGATTAACAACATGTTGGACTCGGTGGGCATATAACTATTGATATTTAGTCATACATTGCTACGATTATACAAGCCCGTCCTATATAGGCCGACATAATAACTTAAGACATTATAACGACCTTTTCAGCCAACGAACACACACAAAACGAACGAAATAAGAGAGACAAGAGAAGCTCGTGATAGGGAAGCACGCGAGAGAGAGGGAGAGGCTCTGTTCGCCCGCAGCGGGGTGAGGGAGGCGGCTTTGCTGTTGGTGCGGGAGAAAGCAGGAAGGTATACGCTACAGAGGGAGCCGCTGTTCTTAGACCGCTGCGTGGTCGCCGCGGATCACGAACCCGAGCACTTCTTCGAAGTCCACGAGATCACTACTAAGGATTCCTATATATTTAAGGTACGACAATTGAAATCTATACTAGTGTATAAAACTGCAGGGTTTGTTTGTTTGAACGCGCTAACTTCAAGAACGGTTCGAATTTAAAATTTATTGGTTAGAGCATTTAACGAGAAAAGCTATAAAACATTGCGCTGCGGTTAATAAGAGCGAAGAGACAGCGGTAAAGGTGGAAGGAAGGAACGGGGAAAATCGTTCATCCTTATGGATTTTCATTGCGTACGCTGAGAAAACAGGTCTAGGTACCGAAAAAATATGTTTGAAAGAGTGATTCCCTTTTAAACTTAAAATTAATGTACGCGACAGTATATATCTGGGCGCGGACCATTAGAATTCTATACGTGCAAATATATATACATAATTATAGAGAATGTCAATGGCAGGTATCAAAAATCTCGTTTTAAATAAAACATTTGAAGGTTTAATACGCAATATAAGTAAAACTCATTTTTGATGTAGTCATGGAGAAACTTGTGGTCGTAGTTGAATTAAATTAAAAATAAGTTTAACTAATATACATCGCGTTTTAAACCATTGAAAGTGTTTTATTATTATTGACATGGTCACAGAGAGGAGATAGCAAAGCATTCGGAACTTGTGGTTGTAGTTGAGTTTATGTATTTGGTGTTTTAATCCGTTAAATGTATAATACTCGCGTAAAATACAGACAATACTAAATCATGTGTTCCAAAAACAACGTTCATATGAAATGTCTGTTTTTGATAATATCAAAGAATTAATGATTTCATATCATAGATTATTTCAACCAGAAACCCCACAGCAAAACCTTAGCCATAAATACGATGCCTCGCTGGAAGTCTCGGTATACATTTAGCACGAACCATTGCACTGTATTTACGGAGGAATGCGTTTGTTTAGCACTGAAATTTTTGTTATCGGTTTTTCACTCGGATTTTCCGTTTTTTACTCTCGAAATCCGTGCTTAGTGATTGATGTACTCCCTGCTGTTCCACAATGGATGTTGAGCTATTGTTTCGGTCGAGTTGAAATATTTCTATGGCACGTTTGAGAGTATTGGGACATAGCGTAGATCAAGTTTTAGACAACTTAAGTTTAGAATCAGGTTTTTAGAACTTCGTCTTCTCAAAGCTTTACCTGGCGACTTCTTTTTCCTCCTCTCGATACCATTCACGTTTAATTGTTTTCCATTTCTGTATCATTTACAAGTACAAAACTAGATATGTCAACAGCTTAGTCCGCATAGAATAGTTATTTCGGGCACTCAAATTTGTTTTTGCAAACACACGATGTCGGTCGCGTCCCATCGTTCTTGCAAGTCAATCTTAAGTTAATTATATCGTGTAGCAGACAATTTTTAAGATTCTCTAAAGATAAGCTATTCATTCATACATATTTTTTGCTTTCTTAAACCGTTTTCGCTCGACAACGTAACGGTAACACATTTCCAGCCGTTTCTCCGCTTCTATTAGTCACAGCGCGATGTTTTAGGCTATAAGCCCTTCCCCAATAAATTTTCTAAGTATCATAAAAATAAATTTTTAATTCGCACCAGTAGTTCCTGAGATTAGCACATTTAAACAAACTCTCCAGCTTTCTACATTAGTATAGATAGAAGCAAGAAGATCATGCAAATTTTTAAATGAGCCATATTTGATATTAACATATTTTTTTTTAATCTACACCTTATTTTTACTTATATTAATATTTCAAATGTAACCTTTTTAAAAACTACTTAGGATCTAAGAAATAAAATCTTTAGTTGTTGTAATCATGTTAATAATTTTAAATCCAATTCCATGAAATGTTACTCATGTAGTTCTGGTGGAATTATTTGTCTCATCGTAATAATATACTAAGCTATATGTTCAATTTCAGGCGGACGAAAGCGCTCGCACGAGGACTTGGTACCGTCAGCTCCAGTACCACGCCCAAGGAGCCGGGGCGTGGCGGAAGCGACGCAACGCTCTTGCCAACATCATGATTAATCCTATGCTAACAAGAAATTAATGCGAGAAAATAACAGACACAAAACAATTAAAATACTGTGAAACCAAAAATATGAACTAGCTATTTGGAATATTGAACAGCAAGAACAAGTAAAGTACATTAAATAAATAAACTTCCAACTCACTTTCCTCCCATCCAACCAAAAGAAGAAAAAAAACCCAATTAAATAAACCCCAATTTAAATCTCTCTAAGTACACGTTTAAAAAAGGAACTGTATTGGATTAAAACAAATGAAAGATATTTATTAATAATGTGGTCTTTCTTCTTCTTTCAAAACGCAGTATATTCTTACTAAGACCACGACTGGAAAGCTCCCAAAGCGGGTTTTAACTTCCCCGATTATCAAAGATTATATGTTGTGTTTAAATCCGTTGTATTTGTTACATTGTAATCTATTAAGTGAATATGTACTTGATTTTTCTGCAGATCTTAAATTTCGCTTAAAGATAAATAATTTATAAAATTTATATTCGACTATTAAGTGGTTTATTCCCCACCTCTGAAATTATGGATAAACGCATTTATTAAGTGCAAATAAATTAACGAATAATTCTCTCGTTGCGAGTAGTTCGTCATTATTGATGTAAAGTTGTACTTTTCATAATTATTAATTGTATATTATGTTAAATATAAACGGTTTTGTTCGTAATATTTTTCCTATTTTTGCCACTAGATAAGCTTAATTACCAAAATGAAAGAATGGTAATATTTCTGTTGTTGCGTTTCATCGTTGCAACAGAGTAGTGCCTTAAGAATAAGAAAAGAAAAGAAATATTTTAATTAATAGCTGTGATATCCTGACGTTGAATAGAGCTTTTGCGAGAAAACTTATTTTAACTGTTAAATTTTTAAACGTAACGATATCAAATAGCTTCCCGACTAGTCTTAAGGTGTAATTTAAAGAGTAAAATTATTGAAAATGTTTCAATTATTTGTATTTATTGTACTTATTTCATGTAACTGAACCGTAGATTAGTTTTGGCCTTTTATGTTATCATTGTTAGTGTTAGTTGAGGAGAAATGGAAATAAATGAATAAAGTTATATCGTGTTTTGAATGTCCATATAACACCAATCCAGCATATATTCGTTTTCGGGCTGTTCGGCCGACGTAAGCGAGAAGAGTTACTCGAAGTTTCACCATCACGAGCTGACGACATCATCAGATGTTGTTAGCTGTCGAGAACCTCTTCTCGCTCACGTCGGCTGAAGAGCTCGAAAAACGAGTACATACAATTTTATACCATTACAATTCTAAAAACTTGCTGATCTACTTAAGTTATTTGTTGTTGGAAAGATTTATATTATGATGTTGATACAACACTATTAATATATAGTTAATTATAAAATTCGACCAAATTTAACATATTTTTTATGTTTTTTTTTATCTCCTTAACCCCTTAAATGCCCCTTTTTTCCAAACTTCTATTGTTTCTTGGCGCTTATTGGCCGCAGCGTGATATACCCTAAAGCCTTCTCTAATACATGGTCTACCCAACACAAAAATAATTTTCAATTTTAACCAGTTCCCGAGTTCATATAATTACTAGAAACATATTTTTCTATTATAATGTCATATACACAGTTGTAGAAGCAAAACACTAGTGAATTGTGAAGTAAGTTGTTCTGCGATTTTTATTTACACACACTCAAGTTACGAAGCAAATGATCCCCGCAGAGACAATAATAAATTGCAGAGTCGTCTCGCTGTTTATCCTTTACCTGCTAAGCTTTATAAAGAAACGCAAGAGTTTCTGATTGTTAGGGTTCCCCATTATTTAAAATAAGGATAAACTGTCTGTTCTGTCTACAGCTGAAAGAAAAGACATTTTGTAATTCGTAATAAAAGCAACCGACCGCCTCTGTAGCCCAATGGTTAAACGTATTGCCTACCATTGCCTTAATCGCAAGAGGTCCTGGGTTCGAATCCCAGGGAAACAAAAAAAGTGTTTCGGTCGAGCAGGGCACAGAAGTCGGTTCAATTACTTGGCTGTTAGAGACCGGATCAGTGAACCGAACCCAAAAATGTGTTCGCCCCATGCCCCGCGAGGGGTAACGGGATTTCACTTAACTTAAAAAAAAAACACAATGCCGTTTCTCCCCCGTGGGGCATGGGGCGAAAGAATTTCTGTGTCCGTTTCACTGAATCGAAACAATCTATATTTTTTCCGGAGTTCGTACCCAGTACCTCTCGCGCTTGCAATGTTAGGCAACACGTATAATTTTCTCTTCCTCTTAAAATAATACACTCTATACGTCGTCATCTCTTACCTCTCTCTGTATTTTATTCTGCAAATAAAAGTCCTTTTTGGAATGAAAAAAATCAATTTTTTTACCGAAATAAAATATTTTTCACTTTCACTTATAAAATAATTATTTATTAATCACCAGCATTATCTTACAATCTTAATAGTAGGTACATATATTATCGTTTCTTAAAATCAAAAGAATACTGTAATGAAACAATTAACGGTAAATACTACTTGCTACAAAGGAGTACATAATACATTGACTACGTCATACTGTTTTTGTAAAGAAATGCAAAACGTCATCGAGGAGGGGATAAGAAGTAGACGAAAAAATTCGACGATGAGATGTAGGACTCGGTAGCTCAATTGGTAGAGCAACACGGAACGCTGACGATGCCGGCTCAAATCCTACCCGAGTCGAAAATATTTTCAATTTATGTTCGATTTTTAAATCAAAAAATAGTTCTTGAGATTAGCGCGTTTGAAGTAAAAGAACAAACTCTTCAGTTTTATAATATCAGTGGTGATTTATATGTTGTCTTCAACTCGAGATCTAAAAATACACAGTTATTTTGCGCTGCATACAGCATAGATCGTCTAATAAATTCTATTAATATTTATGTCTAAATTTATCATGCTCCCAACCACTTGTGATGCGGAACCCGCGACGCGCGCCGCCACCCGTACTTGGTTGTTTATTCTCGATGTGTTTACTTCAGAAAAGTTAATGCAGCATACTTGAATTTTAAATTGAAACTGTAGTCACTTCATTGAATATTCTTATGAGCTCTGCCATTTTTAAGACGCCTTTAACGTCTGATATTCATCCTCGAGTGAATTTGATTTTAGAATTGCTCCGCGAATGGGTAATAATCCCTTAATGCTGGTGATATCTTATAGTTGGATGAATTTCCTTGAATCCCGCGCACTAAAAGTAATATAAAACTGAAGTTCGTTTGTTCGTTTTGAATGTTGTAATTTCAGGAAATACTGGTGCTAGCTGATAAATTAAAATTTATTGAGATGGGCTATAAAACATCATGCTGCAAACAAAAGGATAAATCGTGGAAAATGTAGAATGAACGGGAATGTTTAGACGTCTTAAGTTCTTGCGATATATGGAAGAATGATTCCTCTGTAAAATCTTTTAAGAATAGCTCGTAAGAAGAATTATTTATAGAGCTGAGTAGGAGGTTGCGAAAATAAATTTGGATGCCCGAATACATTTTTTTACGCGGACAAAGCCGCGAGCACAGATAGTTTTGAATTTGACAGAAATACCTATTCATATAAATAACAATCAAAGGAAGACTGTTCTGATGATTCTTGGAACCTGGACGGAGTGGTGGCAAAAGTAATTAATAGGAGATGGGGATCTATTATTTTTTTATTATATTTAGCTACCTCCATTACACGTAGGGAATACTTATTTATAAAGTCTTCACCGTTTCCCTAGCTTAATGATAAAAAGCGTTGTCTAGCATTGCGTGCCTCCGAAGTCTGATCAACTACAGATAAAGAAATGTGTTGGGCCCATGTCCCAGAGTGGGGAACGGGGTTTTAAGTTTTATATACACTTTTCTATGCTGGTTTCACTCGAACCGAGCCTCCCGAATAGGTTCATAAAATATTTTTTACGATGTACACTCGTCTTTATTGTGCCGATAAAGGGCCGCTGTGTTCGTTGCAATTTGAATTTAACTGGCCTATAAAATAAACTATTGCACTGGGCCAATGAAAAACTAACTTGCCACCGTTAATGGGCAGTTATTCGAAAACGAATTTCCCGAACCGCTTTAGCCACGGGCCGGAATGATTTTCAGTTGTGACGCGATATTTCAAATTGCTCCAACAATACTAATAAGCATAAGTAGAGTAACTTAAAAGCTTTGATTAATTGAAGCATTGGGGCAGTTGTTGGTCTAATGACTCAACGGGTCGTTGCTTCGATTCCCACCGGGTCATAAATAAAATATACATCATTCTCTTTAAAATTTTAAAAATTATTTAGAGTCGTCAAATTTTTTTTTTGTTTGTCTGTCTGTTCGTCGTGTTTCTACAGAGTGTTCAAAAGAGCAACATAACTTAAAATTGTAAATAGAGAGTGCTGTCAAAATTATTTTATTAATTTTAATTAAAATTAACTTTACAATGTGCTTGACAAAAAACATCAGGTTATACATACAGATACTAGAATGAATGACACTTATTGATAACTGCGAAGTGCGTGTTTTGAAACATGAAAGCTGTGGTGAAATTCAACGGCTTTCACGCTATTTATTTTGTATAAAAAAGTTACTATGTAAATTTTAATCGAAATTCATTTTTGACTTTTTAACGAATGGTGGTATACTCTTTAAGTATTTAGTTCATAATCCTTATAAAAAAATAAATAAAGAAAGGGTATATCGACTTTCCAAAGTGTATTAGTTACCCTTATTAGCAAATTATTTTATCTGCAGCTCACGGCTTTACAGCAGCCGTGGGCACGGAAGAAATCCCGCCGTGAGCACGGCAAATAAGTAAATTCCTATTCTTGTCCGTCCTCCTGTAACATAAAATACATATAATTGTGTTTGAACGCGTCTCAGATTTAACACAGCAAATAACTAATACATTTTGCGTTTTAAACTGTTTAAATCGTTTATTTAAATCTCCGTCCTTCTCTAACATATAAAGCATATAATTGTGTTCAAACGCGTTTCAGATTTAATACTAGTGCAATACATACACGGTTGAATTTCAACAAGA